CCTCATGTTTCCAGTTGAGTATTTTCTCTGACGATCTTGTAGGCTTGCTTTGGACATTTTACATGCGCTTTCTGACATTTTATGCACTTTATTTGTGAACAGCTGCTATTTTCAAAACATTATATATTTTTCAAAAACCAGAAACTTGACATGCTGTTTTTGAGTTTATTTACTGAGTGCATATAACTGATTCAAACATGTCACCTTTGCTCAATTACAGTAAAATCATCACTTTACAAATGTACAAAACATGACTATCCAGAAAGTGTTAGGTAAAACCACAGAGGGCTATTAAAGCCACTTAGACAAAGTAAAAAGACAGTATCTTGTGTGACCACCATGAACATTGTGTCAAGACATTACGTCGAACTGGTGTTCCCGTAGCCGATTGCGCACTGTCTGGTTGGAGATTCGGCATAGGCCAGGGATTGGGGTTGTTGTCAATGTTGCGGTCATGGTGCGTGATGTTTCAACCAGATGTAGCGATTCTGGGCGGCGGTGGTAACTCTAGGTCGACCTGATCTAGGTCTGTCATTAACACTCCCAATATTGTTGTATCGGTTCCATAGGTTTGAGATGGTCTGTCTGGACACGCCGAAGTGCCTTGCCACCTCATTCTGCGATGCCCCTCATTGTAAACAGTCGATGGCATTATGTCGTTAAGCTTCTGTCAGTCTTGGCATTCTTTTGTCGTCTATAGAGGCTTAAAGCAATGCATGTGGAGTACCGTTGATGTGGCTTTTTATAGCCTACAGTCATAGGCTTCAGCTCGGAGTGATACACAATTTCATGATGCACGTGCATTTCATGCAGGGTGCTTTTTAGCGATTCCCTACAAACATGAGTGTAACGTTACGTTTTTGTTCAACGTTTCTTTTTTAAAACGTTTTGACGTAGGCAACCATTCCTCCACATGTTGGAATTCAGCATGGATTGGTTTGTGTCAACTATTTTCCTAAGTTTCAAATTGTTCCTACGCCTTATTTCTTTTTTCTTTTGAAGAGTATATTGAAATATACCTAGTCGATTTTAAACTGAAACACTGTGCTTAAACTTTAGTTAAATTGGATAGTTTAGGCTTATAATTGCATATGCAAGAAGAAGAAACACTATATTTGCGATTCATAAACAGTAGTTAGAAATATGCATTTAGATATATAAGATGGATAGCTGCTAATAAGTACATTAGAACATGCTTTCAACAAACCATTATCATCATTATAACTATTGTTAAAAACAGGTTATAAACGTTTTAAAGCAGTATTTGGGCTTCAGTAATGCTTATTACTGTAGGAATTAAACAGAAATATAGTTGTCGTTCTTGTATTAAGCAGTTCTATAGTACTGTCGGAAATAGACAAAAAACTTTCTCATTTATCTCTACAATTTATGTAGTTGATATGTGCAAGTGTGAAATATCTCTTAAACTAAATTCGGCCTAACTACAGTCTCAATGGTAGGGACACAAGAAACGTAGAAAAAGGACTATATTGAGGAGAGATTAGTGCAGAAATGAGCAATGCGATTTTTTTCTAAGTCCAAAACGAATTATTTGGAACAGACCATGGCTGTATGCAAATTACTGTGCGACGATATTGTATTATAAAAGACACTTTTTAAATAACCAATTATAAACGATAGGTGGCGTAAAAAATAATAACTTTCATGCTGAAACTATTAAGGATGTAGCTACCATGGAGTCTCACTGTCACTATATAAAGAAACAGATAGGAGGGTTCGTCTCAAAAGCAAAACCTGGACGGGTGTCGCAGACGATCGTTGGGGTCGGGCTTGGGGATATAGATATCATAAGATGCGATAATCCTTTTAGGGAAAATATACTGGGGAAGTACACAGCATGTCATAACTACAAATAATATCCAGTCCTGTCGATCTTCGCGATGATTAGCCACCTATATATTTTGAGACATTTAATACGATGCGAGTCAGGTATCAAACTGTCAACATAAACTTTATGAAAGAAAGACACTTAAGCTGTTAATCAATAGATGAGGCATAGTCAACACACATGAAAAAAGCACAAAATATCTTTCGACCCCTTCTGTAGGCAGCACATGCAATGCAAGGTGAGTCGAAACCTGGCTGAGCGACCTAATTGCCATCTATAGTCTGATCTATTGTTTTCAGCAGCTATTTGATTTTTCTAAGTTGGGGTAAACATGCTTTTCTGGATATCCTATTACCCATCCCACTTAATGCCAAGTTAGGGAAGTGGGTTATTTCGATATATCTATTTGCAGTTGTGAAATATGAAATTCGGAGGGGCACAAGTCAGTTTTTGGTTTGACCCGGAATAACACAAGCTGGCCACGATTAGTCAACATCCTAACAGTTGAACGTGATGCGGAGACAACCTACACGCCTTAAATCTTCAGCGGGTTTCACTGTCTTCATGATGAAGTCCTTGGGCATGTGTGGTTTTGGGGACCCGTCCATCGGTCCAGTGTGAAGTCATCACCTACTTCCCGTGTCATTTCCCCTTTATTTATCTGACGAAATTTAGTTTTGTCATCAGAGTTATTGCGATGCTCAAGTGTCTGAGTAAGAAGAATTGCAAGCGCATGTGCTGACTGGAGTCTCATTTTGACTGGAAATGTTGGCATCGACTATGACTGACACATGGGGAATATCAAACATGGTGTTTCACAAGTCTAGTTTATCATCTTGAGCCTTGTAACTCTCCAGTCATACAATCCGTATTACAAAGTTGAATGTCGGTTTAATCTCATCAAAGATAGTGTTTGACAAGTCTAATTTATCATCTTGAGCATGGATACTCCGTTCCTCCATGGATGGACAACTCCATCTTTCTTGCCTTGTTTGATCACAACCAGGGAATCACTTCTGATATCATAGATGGAGTTATCGACTTCCACAAATAGTTTGTGATAGCGTAAGAAGAATACACGACCTCCCCTTTATATTTGAGCAAGTAACATGTTTCTGCCGAGAACTGAAAGCATGAGTGCTCTTGATCAGAGTTTGTATCGTGACCATGATCGTCACCATGAGTGTTGCATATTAAACATAAATGTAGACGATATAAACATCTATCGTCGAAGGACAGTTAAATAACTAGACTATCACACATGTGCATTTAAACCTAGCATGCAGTCTTACAACAATATGTCTACAGAACAACAGATCGAGAAGCACTGAAGGTTGATCGCCATGCTAAGGACCATGGGGAGTGCTTTTGCTATCCTCATTGACACTAGCTAGATCAACACCATCCCTTCTGCATTTGGCGATTATACTCGATTTAAGCACATCAGATAAAATGACAACTCTGTCATCTGACAATGCTGGATTTTCTGTCGATCCTGTGATACTCTCGTCAAGCAATTCTCTCACAGACTTCGAATTATCCCAACATCTGACTACACCATTAGCAAATCTAGTTGTTTCTTCGGCTTTGGCTTTCTAAACAATCCAGCCTGCATTCGAGTCGATACACAGTTTGTCTCAGTTCGAGAATTTCATGGGTAAAATTATTTTCCTCCTGAGAAGGTACGTAAGTCCCCAAAACTTTCAAAGTCAATTTCGCTCAACCATACCTTTTAGTCGCAGTATTTTTGTTATTTTAACTTGCGGCTAAATCTTCCTACCATCGCCAGCGGCTGAAGGGATGGTGTAAATCCAGCTTGGGTCCATGCAGGTAGCGAAAGTAGTGTAAGTCCCCATGGTTCCTAGTATGGTGATTTACCTTCAGCTGTTGGCGATATATAGCAACTTTTTTAATATTGTATTGTCTTTCATAGTTAAGATCTTTTAGATTTTCATACTAGTTTTACAATATATCTGTGATATTCTAGTTATTGTTACTGTCCTTCGCCGGCAGGTTTTTATAATGATTTATATCAACATTATAACTTCTTGATAGTCACGATATGGCTGAAATATTGCCGACGTGACTTAAAATCTTAACTCACTCACTCCAATCACTTGTGACCTTAAACTCCGTTTTCAAACTTAAATCACCCTCCCTACCCTTGTTTTTTTCAATCTATAGCCCGTGTTTTATATTGTATTGTCTTCTTTAGTTAAAATATTTTAGTTTTACATGCTAGTTTTACATTCATATCTGTGATACTCTAGTGTTTTACTGTCCATCGTCGACAGGTTGTACTCTTCAAAATGTTTTCATTGCACGAATTGTTTTCGTCACGATATGGCTGAGATATTGCCGGTGTGACGTTAAATATTAACTCACTCACTCACGCGAGAATTTCATGTTAAAACATCTGACATGTGTCATTCTTAGGCGATGATACGTTAAGTTAACGTTAAGCCATCTCTATCATGTAGTGCCATTGTACTAATCGGTATACAGCAGCATGCACGAATATGATGATATTGCAATTGTGCCCTCGTCAGTTTTTCATTGGGAGTGTAAAATGCACCACTTTGTTCAGACTTACAATTGATTAGATATAGGGCATCAGGAACAAACGCGGCAACAGAAGAAAGAAGTGTTGTTTTGGATTGTTGTTTTGTTGATAAATTACCCGTTACTCATAGATAAAGTTGAAATTAAAATAATTCTGCGCAATAAAAAGTACGTTTTAAAAATGGTCACTGATATACGTTTCATGTGGTAGATTAATGATCATTTGCTAAAATGGCGTTACCTATAAAGTATTTATCGATAGTTCCCCAGTACAATTGTAGAATATATTTTGATATCAATGCTGACTTCGATGTTTGTTACGTGCCTGACTGAGTAGACGTTTAGGCAGGTTGGCTATAGTATCTAAGAGCCATGTTCTTTACTGAAGTCGTATTTAGCGAATATTGCTGAATTCAACATAAGATCATTGTTGCAGAACACCAGTGTTTTGTTTGTTCATTTGATGGTGACATGCTGTGTTGTTGTATAACGCTGCTCTCGGTAATATTCCAGCTATATAGCGGCTGTCAATAATCGATAATGTACATGAGCATCAATCAAAACAATCAGAATACGATGACATGTGCCAACCAAGTCAGCGATGTTCACCAACCGACCCCCTTACAACAAGCATGGGTTGCTGAGGACCAATTGTAACCCAGAAGAACATCGGTGTTTCTTATCCACTTCCTGCAGCAGTAAGGGATGTGTGTTCGCCTTCCGTCTTTTTTCGTATCCACTTTGCGATAACGAAGAGACAGAGGAATACCATTATCTGTATAACAACTATAGTCACCATGGAATAATGGAGCATATGTGGTTCAATGTCACACATCATTTGTCCAATAATAAGAGCTATCAATGATGTTCCTGCCAAGTCAAATAGTATAACGATGACGTACAACGTATGATTCAGTGTAACATTTTCTCCACACCATGCCAGGAGAGCAGCAAATAACGGAGCATAAAATAGTCCAAGAAAATGGGACCCTGCCCATAAGAATTCCACACTTTTTTCTGCAGTAAATACTAGAAAAACTGATCCAACTAAACTTCCGACCAAACACGATGTGACTAAACATGCTTGTGACACTGCTAAGCTTACAAGTACGCCTACGACACGCCCTAACAATGTGACCGCATAAAACGATGACGTCATCAGTGACATTATTGTCTTAGATATTTTGAGATTGCTTCTGGTTCCAAATAGCAAGAGTTGGGTACCGTATACGAAGTTTGCGGCACCTCCTATGAATATGATAAATATTTGCAAGCTCACAAATACATTATTCAGTTTTCCAAAGGTATATTTGTTCTTCTGGTGTGAATCCTTATTGGAGCTCTTTCTTAGATGATAACGTAAAACAGCCAAGAAGACAACTAGAAGTGCTCCGAATGATGCAAAGCTCACATATGCATATGCTATGTTTGACTCTGAGCTTCGTAATTCGATTGGCGTCATGACGAAGTCACTTGTGATGTTGATAGCCTCGCTTTGGCAGGTTGTGTTGGTGAGGAAAGGTGAGATAATCAACGGTCCTAGGATGTTTCCAGTGCACATTGCTATCCCCATCAAGTGGAAGGGTGTGGCTTTCTCTTGACCAAATTCCCCAATTTTGGCAACTCTTGCTGCAATGACATAACTGACATTAAACACAAATTGTCATCATGACATGTTATGTATGTTTAATATTTTCATCCCATTTGACAAAATTCCAGTTACAAGCCTGCTTCTTAGCTAGACAAACAAGCGGCTGAAGAGGTCAGACCTCAACACCGTAGGGGTAGGAAGACTTACAACCTATCCTGAAGGTTAGAACTAAACTATTACAGATATAGACGTAAAAGAATGATGTAAATCTAAAACGTTTAAACTATTGAAGACAATACAATATTTAAACAGACTATAGATCACCAACGACTGAAGGTAGATCACCATACTAAGGACCTACCTTATCTTTACCAAACATAAAGTTTAAAACCTTTCAAACAATTGAATTTCTTTTAAACAAAATAATGTTCATATGGTAATTGACCTGGTTAAAACGATCCTTCATTGTTTTTTCACTTCAATTGATCCCATGCGGGGGAACAATTAATGCAGTCAAGCAAAATGAAATAATCAAGTGAGAATTAATATAATTGAACTATCCTTGAATTAGATAAGTAATATGAGCACATACACAATCACTACTATGACCAGGCTTGCTTCCACCACCATAGTAAAGTTCACCAGAAATCCGTACCGCTGTTTACAACACCACCAGTTAGTCCTAACCCAGAACTTGCAGCTGCAGCCAACCAGAAGGAGGGACACAGAGGTATCACGATTACAAGGCAACTGCTGACAAGGACGCACGTCATCATGAGTGTATACACATTGAACACTGCATACAGAGGCATGTAGAGCACACTGCCTGCTGTCTTGAAGCCAGCGTACAAGGGAAACAGGGTGCTGATGGTCTGAACACTGACGCAATACAGGCACTGAAGGTCATGTAGACTTGGCCCAAAGCAGCTGTCGATGAGTCCCTGAAAAACAGACAGAAGTTGAAATCTTAGCGACAAATACCTTTCCATACTAAAAATACATTTCCAATAAAAGTAAAGATATTTGTTGAAATAATAGTCCATACATGCACGTCTCTCTGGTAAAACCCTTGAAATATAGAAAGTCACATGCCTGATGCCTGTAAGAATATTGTAGTTCAAAGAATCAGTTTCATTAATTTCTCTCTCTCTCTCTAGTTCAAATTCACATTGAAAGGTCAATAGTTGTAGTTCAAAGAATTGCTTTTATTCTTTTCTCTCAAGTTCATCATATTCATATTGAAATATTTGAATTTGAAAGCAGATTCGGGCCAATTCAACGCAAGTGACCTTGCTATAGATTGACTGCAATAAAGAAATAAGGGAATCTGTAGTTCCATATAATGTTATCAGTATCGCAGCATTAACATTCTCAACTTCATCAATAAAGATACACTTTTGACAAAGTTTTACATTTCTAACTCCTGCAAAGCGAGCGAGTTTTGAATGCAGCAAACAGTATTGAAAACGTTGGATACGCACAAATATCATTACTTCATATTGCAGAAATGCTGCTAATAGATTCATTACCTATAACACAAAGTGTTGACAAGCAGAAAATGTCAAAGTTATTCATACCGTTTGTAGACCATCTACTCTCTGACATGAAACGCTCACATGGCAAGCAGGCGACATACTGATCTCGAATCACATCGCTACCAAAAGTTATCTCCCCTTGACACCACTAAATGCAACCCGCTAAAATATTTAACGACAAACAAAAGTATAGGCATTTCTGTCAACCATAACATATTTCATACAAACCCACAAAACAAAAATTCAAACTATATACAGTTTTGGCCGTAACAAATATAAATATCATATTTGTGGTCGGTGATAGAGGTTTAGGATGAGTTGGTTGTTAGGGCACAGGTTATGTGTTGACGGATGAGTTGGTTGTTAGGGCACAGGTTATGTGTTGACGGATGAGTTGGTTGTTAGGGCACAGGTTATGTGTTGACGGATGAGTTGGTTGTTAGGGCACAGGTTATGTGTTGACGGATGAGTTGGTTGTTAGGGCACAGGTTATGTGTTGACGGATGAGTTGGTTGATAGGGCACAGGTTATGTGTTGACGGATGAGTTGGTTGTTAGGGCACAGGTTATGTGTTGACGGATGAACATGGCCCAAAGCAGCTGTCAGTGAGTCCACGGAAGAGACATTTATTTACGTGGATACCTCATTGGAAGAGTGTTCTCCCTGCTTTGACATATAATCTATGACTGTATAAATCTGAACTTAAATGTAAACAAAATTGATTTAGCGGTATACTAGTGGAACATTTTATGTAGAGAACCAAACAGTTACATATGCTATACACGCTTCTGACCATTTAGAATTGAAGAAGCTTGGACTATTGTTGACTAAATGGTTGCACTATATGATGTGATAATCAACAAAGTTCCTGACAATTCCAGGGGCGGTCGGGTAGCCTAGTGGTTAAAGCATTTGCCTATCACGCCCGTGACCCGGGTTCAAATCCCCATATGGGTCCAATGGGCGAAGCCCATTTCAGTTGTCCTCCGCGATGATATTGCTGGAATATTGCTAAAAGCGGCGTAAAACTAACCTCACTGACTCACCTTACCATTCCTGTACTTTCAGTACGCTCACAGTTAAAGGGACCCCTCTCACTCAATCCATACCTTATATGCAGTCGATAATAATGTACACTAAAACATCTGGAAGCAACTTTCTTTGGTGAAAACATGGTTAAAGGACAGAATAAGCCATAAACGACTTAGAAACATAGAGGATATGAAGAAAGAATTGGTCGTATATTGGGATATGCTGTCACAATATCATACAAACTTTGTTTGGTAGTGTACCTAGGCGCCTTCAGTCGTGTATTGCAAGGCAAGGAGGTCTCACAGAGTACTGACAAGACACTTAAGCTGTAAGAGAATGATATCTCATATTTAAGTAAAACTTCAATAGTTTTATATATATACATGTGTTACATATTTGCCGAAACAAGTTTCTCTATAATTTCTGGGAATACTAATAGGGATGCTCCTAACAACATCGTCCGTGTGGTGTTGTAAACTCACGCATATCCGCCGAATTAGGTTCCATTAGGCGGTAAAGGCAAATTAATACTGAAAATTGTATGAACAGGCTACGAAATATCAGTGGTGAAAACAGGTATTCCATTGAATGGAAGCGCCATACAAGTATTAACCCCGCTCAACGAAACACTTCATAGATTTTTCCAAATTTGTGTCAATGTCACATATAAACAGTACCTTAAAAATACACATTTCCGGAAAAGGGAAAAAAACAACAGCAAGTCTTGAACGAATATGTCACGTTCCCATGCATCATTGCATCTAAAAAGAGTTTATAAATGATAATTATAACATGGTCACATCACTGCTTTCAGTAATTCAGGCATGCACTGCCATTTTGAGAGAGTGAGTAAGTACGCCGCATTTAGCATTATTCCAGTAATATCATGGCGAGGGACATCAGAAATGGGTTTCACACATTGTACCCAATTAGGGTCTTCGGCGTGACGAGCGCGCCCTTAAGCCACTAGGTTACCCCGCCGCACCTAAATAAGTGGGACATGGTTTCTATGGGGTAGACGTTCCCGTTCAGCAAGGACAATTGTACGGGTTACTTACGTCAAGACCAGACAAGGCGAGCAACAATGCAAGTTCCATGTAAGCACATTTCGAAGATTCCAGATTCTGGCTAGATGTGGAGTGGCTCATCACAGATACAGTGTGTTACAGGTATCTACGACGAGTATGTACCTAGAGGATTTGCAATGCATATATACAGGAGGCAGATATGACGCGTAATCACTGGTCAGCTACATTCAACTTCGTCAAGGGGTGGAAGGTTAGTGACTGCAATTAGTGTTTTAATGCCTCAAAACCGAATATTTCTGAAATATGTCAAGCGATTTCAGGTTTCTACTCTTAAATTGATGGACATGTTGATGGATAATGGTGTTGTTGATAAAACAAATTTGACTCCATGTTTCAGAGCAAAAGGACGGTGTGTTCGAAAACACTTGCTGTTTCTTTTAGACAGCTCCACACATGCTGTGTACAGGAGCATTAGACCCTGCACAGCTGAGAAACAGTTGAAAAATGTCTGTAGGTAATTAACATTTGGTTGTATATTTCTTGCGACTATATTTGTTTTCAAAGATTTTTTTCGCGAATCAAAAATACATTCCCAACAGCAATTGTTGAAATTACTGTACAACTTGTGACGATTTTAATTATGAATCCTACGTTCATATCAAATGCATGTTATTTATTCCACTCCCTCTGCTGAAACGCAGATGTAGCATAATATAACTGAAAATTATTTCGGTGCAATGAGAACCTTACAAAAACAAGAGAGTGGGTAGTGATATATGTTGCTTTAAACTACGTAAAACGGATGACACACTGGCACCATGTGTGTGCTCGAACACGGGCTTGACACTCTTAAACCACTGGGCTACCCTACCATCCAAGGAAAAAATCAGGTACGCTATTCCTTGTGTTAAAGTGACCATGTGACGGCTATAGTCGTATTGAAACGGTAAATATTACCTAGCGTAAAGGTACATATGCCACGCTTGAAGTTCATTTATTTGAAGTTGTTGTTTTCTGAAATCTGCACAATGCATCTTTCAATGATTCCGAATTTGCAGCGGCATGTTCATGCACAGCACAGTTTGGAACCTGATACTCGCACACGTGTTTTTTAATGTATCAGCTCACAGTGATGGTTTGTCTACTGCGTACTCATAAAACAACTTTGTTTAACCGTAAAGTATCCTTAAGCAATCCCACGTCTTGCTGAAAAAGGGAACATATTTACATCAGTCTTCTTTGTTACACTTGCAATAATATGTCTAACTCTCAAATATTATTGCTAAAAATCTATTGATAAAACAAATTGTGTTCATGTTAAACATTCCACTTTGCACACTTTAACCTAGAGTATAAAACCTGATTATAATCAGAATCTATAAAAGGTCTAATCTTTTCAAGCGAAATGTGATAGCTTGTTTTCCCGATTTCCAACAAGCAGATGCATGTACCTGCTTCCGACAAGATTTCAGGGTTGGATAATGGCGCACGTCTGTTCTGAAACGTCACACTCAGCAATATTCCAGCAGTTTCACAGCGGTCATCAAATCGATTCACATGCCTCATTTTATTCTGTTACAAATGGAGAGCGCTTATTTATGCATAACATTGAAGAGGATGGCTTAGGGGTTGAGATGGAGCTGCTGATATCCCCGGATCTCCTGACGTCCACAGGCAGCTGTTTTCATTCAGGGGGCGGTGGGGTAGCCTAGTGGTTAAAGCGTTCGCTCGTCACGCAGAAGCCCAGTTCCGGTGTCCCCGGCCGTGATATTGCTGGAATATAGCTAAAAACGGCGAAAAACCATACTCACTCACTATAGATATATATATAATGCAAATATAGGGTGTGAAACAACAAAGAAACAAACAAACCTATGTATGATGGTAAGATAATATTTTATTGTTCAGTTGTTTATTTTCAAAATCCATTGTCCGTAAAGTCTACAAACAAAAATGACCGTGACATGTTATCTGATTGTTCAGATGTTTATTTTCAAAATGCAATATCCGTGAAGTAAATGCGAAACTGAAGGCACGAGCGCAGTATCTCAATTGTTTATTTATAATTTGAACGTTACACCAAACACAGGCATTTAAGCAATAGCTCCTGCCTTCACTGACGCAAAATCCTATACCAGCTTAAATACTGAGAACTAAAAATCACTAAAACCCCAATAGTTTAAACACTTGCAATCACACAAAGAGTTGAGTGAGTGAGTGAGTTTTACGGAGCTCCTAGTAATATTCCAGCTATACGGCGGCGGTATGTCAATATTCGACCCTGGACCAGACAATCCAGTGATCAACAGCATGATCATCGATCTACGCAACTCGGACGCGATGACATGTGTCAACCAAGGCAGCGAGCCTGACCACCCGATCCCGTTTGTCGCGACTTACGACAAGCATGGGTTGCTGGAGATCAATTATAGCCCGGGTCTCTTCTCCCCAGTTGTCCCGAAATAACTTTCAAAACATAATTTTAACTAGCTACATGTACTGCCACAAGTTAGTCGCATATTATTTGAAAATATTGCCGTGTTCATTTATCACCCCTCTGCTGTTAAACACAAATAGAGGCAAAAAATTGCGTAACTAAATGGGAACAGCTTGTGTTTTATCCGCGCAAGGCTGTTATTTAATTAAATGTTTTAGGGCTAGTGTCATATGCACTAGGTGGATATTGTCACTTTGCAAATGGGCCTGAATTCACATGCATGCATGAGGGTAAGTCGTGATCATCAGGCCATATCAGTTATTTTAGTATGTGACTGTTAAGTCAAGCATGGAATGCTGAAGACCAATTCTAAGCCGGTTCTTCACAGGTAGCTTAAATACACTAAAAACCCAACGGTTTAAACACTTTGTGATGGAATCACGCAAATAATTACACAAGCCACATTCCAGCTTTATCGATTGGAGATAAATATGTATTTTGTGAAAATGGCTGTAGCATTGATGAAAATATAGATCACAATAAAGGTCAGCATGGGAGAACGGATGATAAATGCCGAAAAACATCGAAGGAAATTTCTACAGAGCCAATGGAAATTTCTACAGAGCGACAATCCTCCTCGTCCTTAAGAAATCCCTGTTAAAGGGATTACAATTTAGACAACATCATGCACATATCTATATCAGTCATTATCAAATGATGTGATGATGATTTAAAAAGACCCATTCAGATCCGGGTTAGAATTGGTCTTCCGCAAATACATTCCTGTCGTAAGCGGCGTCAAACAGACTCGGGTAGTCCCCCTCGCTTACCTGGTTGACGCGTGTCATCGTATCCGAGTTGCTCATGGTGTTGATCATTGGATTATCTGCTCCAGAACCGATTATTTACAGCCCGCCGCCATATAGCTGAACATTGCTGAGTGCGGCGTTAAACAGGCTCGGGTAGTCCCCTCGCTTACCTGGTCGAAGCGTGTCATCGTATCCGAGTTGCTCATGGTGTTGATCATTGGATTATCTGCCCCAGAACCGATTATTTACAGCCCGCCGCCATATAGCTGGAACATTGCTGAGTGCGGCGTTAAACAACAATCAAATCAATCAAGAAACAAACATACAGACAAACACATGGCCCTAAATAAGAACAAGGATCTTGACCAGCTGAACTTTAGTAATTTGTCATTTTTGACTTCATGAATTAAAACATACCATTGAGACACGGAGCATAGCATGCTTCTAAAAGGGTTCATGAAGCGCGGTTACAAGACAGTGAGTTTAGTTTTACGTCGCTTTAGCAATATTCCAGCAATACCACGGCGGAGGACACCAGTAACGGGCTTCACACATATTCTAATCATGTGGGGAATCGAACCCAGTTATTCAGCGGGACGAGCGAACGCTGTTACCACAAGGCTATCCAGCCGCCCCGGTTAAAATACAAGCACTGTTACACTGTTAGAATACGGAGGAAATTTATTTTTGATGGTTCTATATTATATATAATTCTATTTATAATATCTATTTAGCATTGGAGCTAGATTTACCAAACCAAGGTAATTAAAGCTTAAGAATCATTTAAATATGGCACAAAAGCCATTTCCAGGAACATGTCGCATTTCTGTTGAAGGCAGAGTCTAGTTTACGATTTCGACTGCATGGGGCGAATGGGTTATTCTCTAGTAGTGATGTGCCAGGTGTTGCAAATACCGATTTCAGTAAGCCTAAACACATTAGAATCAGACACATGTGATATGCAATCGTAATTAACTATATTTTCAATTATGTTAGTGTTATATTACAATACAGTATAGAGGATCTTTATGGATAACAACTTCTTTATTTCGTGATTGCGATGTTTCGATACAGATTCTTGTACCGTTGTCAAGCAGGGATGATTTATTACAGTCACCTGGAGACGCATGCCTACGGTGTAACGGGTGCTTTTAACTGGTTAACCAAGAATTAGCAGCTCGGACATACATTGTCATATGTACGGTACCTGTCATGATTTGTAAGTAATTACCTTCTTGTTGATCGTGGTGGGGCGTTCGCTCGTCACGCCGAAGACCCGGGTTTGATTTCCCTCATGGGTACAAAGTATGAAGCCCATTTCTGGTGTCACCCGCCGTGACATATTGCTAAAAGAGGCATAAAGCTAAACTCATTCACTCACTCGTTTTAAAGTCTGCTAAAAAGTATTCATTTTATGCTTCTCTGTATCATTATTACGTCCAGACAATACGTAATGTCTGTCCTTATATATGATTCAAACTTCACTCAGGATAAAACATCATCAAAATCATCCAGCAAAGATAGACTGGAACACCTCGGTACAACATGGTTTGTACCACCCCTGTAAATTCGACGCTTCAAGATGACGGGACATCGTGGTGGTAATGCTGTCAAGGGAGTTTGCGCCATCTGCATGGAAATCTGTATCTATCGTGATAGAATTGATGTACGTCATGGGCGAAGAGCTAGCAAAGCTTGCTACTGAGGATTGCCACAATCTCTAAGCCTCAGAGACGTCGTTTGACGACCGGCAGATGCACAGGTTTGCCTGAAACTGGATCAACACAACGTCACGTTGATATCGTATTTGGTCTTTGGCAATACTATTGCAATTGTTTTTTCTCATTGAATTGTCTCATTTGAAGTCATTTCACAAAATGAATGTATAGTTTATATGAAATGAAAACAAGTTAAAGTAGTTTCAATCTCTTTTAATAACTCACAAGAAACTCGAACTTCAG